AGGAGACAAGTTGATCTGGATCGCCACCAGTACGATGGTGTCGGACTGTTTGACGAAGTCCATGAAGCCAGATCTGCTACTTCGAGTGCTGAAGGAGTGCCACTACACTGTACAGAAGCAGAAGTAGATTTCTCCAATGCCTTAGGAAGACACAAGAGTTTCAATGTATAGCCGTGTGACACCTGTAGAACAGGTTGAGTGTGAATTTGAGGTAGGATCTCATTCTGTTGAGCCAGGTTGTCACACTATGTTGTGTCTGCCGCCATTTGGCTCCTAGGGCCCTTGAGCTATACCGTGCTCGCTTTCGCAGTGAAAAGAGCGTGTGGACAGTACGATTCCGGTTGCTACCGACAATGTTTTACTTTTTTCACCTGCAGGAACTACTTCAGACTTGAGTGCTTCGCAGACTAAGTAGACCATGGTAGACCTGTTTGAGTTGCTTTAATCCATTTGCTTGCCACGCTTGTGTTGACAGATCGAAGCTATTCTCGACTGCGGCCGGTCTCCAAGTGTGTGTTCAATCTGAGTTTTTTCTTTGCTTCTGAAGATCTCTATCTCTCTCTCTCTCTCTTTATTTATAATATTTGTTGACATATATAATTCATATATATATATATATGCTAGCCCCCCCTGAGATCCACATTTGATGCTGTTTCCAAGACGTATTTGAGAAACTCGCAGTAGGCAGTGAGTGTATGCAAGTCTTACACGCAGATTGCACCAGCAATTGCCAGCATACACATGTGTAGTGGCAAAGGGAAGCACATGTGTAGAGGCAATGGATGCAAGCAGACGGTTTTGGATGCATTGGATGCATTGGAAATGAAGAAGCAAAGTAGATCCTGTAGGGGAAAAGTTGCCAGAAGTCATTGGAATCCAACAGACGAAGCAGACAAAGCGAAGACAGGGACCAATGTTAGGTCAGAAAGATGCATACATAGACGAATGCCCTCACAGACATTTTCCCTGCTTTGTTGTCTCTTGAGCTACGCCCGCTAGGACTCTGACATGAACCACTTGACGAGTGAACCAGTTGCGGCCCGAGCTGACCATAATTGCATGCGCAGGAAACCGCTTCTCACTTTGGAGTGCCAGCACCGGTCGATGATTTGGGTGCCTGATTTCACTTTTGCAGGCGTCCACAATAGATTTTTTTGTTTCCGGCCAGCCGCCCACGGCCACGGCCACGGCCACAGCCGCCGGCCACGGCCAGCCGGCCACAGTGAGCCGGCGACGGCATACGGGGCCGAATACCGAACTCAAGAAGGAGCAAAGGAGGAAGAAGAAGAAGAAGCCGCGCAAAAAGAACAGCAGCAGCAGCAACGGAAGAAAAAGCAGCAGAGTCATAAGCAGAAGATGCAGCAGAAACTAGACGACAGGGTGGCCCGAAAGCACAGCAGGTGAGGAAATAATGTCATGAGGAGGATGAATGTGATCAGGAGGGGGGTGAAAACACTACGCAGACAATCGCTTTTTTCTCCACACAGTTCGCGCACTATGCATGCGAGGGGCACGTAAATCATGATCATCGCTGCTACTGCTGGAAAGCTCGCTACGCTGCTGCCCCTGCTGCCATGATCATTTCTTCCCACGTAGATTTCAGTCATGATCATCGCTGCTTGAACGCCGTCGATGTATAACTGCAGAATCGTGATTGCGTCACCGTGATCGCGCTTCTGTTGCGCAGGATAGAAGCTGAATTTCCACGTGCCTTGAGGGTGCAAAAAGCGACGAAAATTCGCATAGACATTGCTTGCATTCATGGTGGCAAAGGCTTCCAGAACATCGTCCCCAAAGTCACGATCTGCGATCCCGCTTAAAGCAAAATTATGCGTAGCTTCTTGTTGAACTTGTTCCACACGCGTCAGACGGCGAAGCCCGCGCTTGTACTTGTGTTAAATCGACGGGCAAATTGGGTATACGCGGAAGGTGGCTGGGGGCCAAACTCGTCACGAGCCACGGCTGAGTAAATCACAAGCATCCTTTCCTGCAGGCAAGCGTCAAAGATTCCAAGTGCACACAGAACGTCCGATGCATTTAGACGCTGGAGACATTTCCTGTTCGCACGCGGTGCAGCCGCAAATGACGACCCTGCTGTGTTCATGCAGCAGAACGATGTTCAGATATGCGACAACCATTGCCAGCGCAACGCAAGCGTTGAGTTTGCCGGGCAACGCGCGCAAAGCCATGCCATCCGAGCTTGCAGGCGCAGACACTTTGTGGAGGGGTGTAGCTTACAACAATTAATATTGCCGGATTGTAGCTGACATCAGCCAGCTACCCCCGATATGGAAAAGCCTCTTCTCAATAACGCCTTCTTCCACTTCACTGAAGTTTGTCAGTACACTGTGACTTACCGCCCCGCGCAGCGATAGCTCGTTGCCAGTCTACAAAACTCCGCAACATAGGGACGCTTCACATTCCAAAAGGATATACTCAAAGACTACGTTTACACAGCGTCTGGAATCACGCAAAATATGCTACATCTCTAAATCTGCATCGCAAAGAGTAACGCAAAGGCCCGCCAGGAAGCACCCACTCACCGTAGAGCGTGTCTCTGTTAAGGACTCAATGCTTGCAGTGACATAGATCAGCCTGACTGTCAGCTATCTAGTAGTAGAGGCAAGCTTATTTTGCTTCTCTGCATTCGCAGCTGTCGCTTCTGGTGCGGAATGCGAACTTTTGAAAAGAAAACTTCATCCCTGTCATCCTGTTTGAGCACGTGGATCGATTACACTGCGCCCGCGTGTATGCAAACTCGTCTTGCTCTTCCTTCTCCTCTTTGCAACAACCACCATAGAAGCTATGGCCGGATGCGATTGGTGGGTTCTAGCCACGACCTTCCGGCCAAGCTCTTGTCCAGAAATCTTGAACCCATGGATCCAAGATCCAAGATTTAAGAAAACTCTTGCCCAGAAATCTTGATTCCATGGGTCCAAGATCCCATATTTGGGAAAACTCTTGTCCAGAAATCTGGGACCCATGGATCCAAGACCCAAGATCCGTGGATCCAAGATTTGTGGACAAGAGTTTACCCAAATCTTGGATCTGTGATCCGTGGATCACCTGTTCAGACTTGAAAATCCCAAGTCTGAAATCCTAAGTCAGATTTTGTGTAAGTAAAGAGCATCAAATTGGATGCAAGGAGACTGTCTTGGCTGCATTGGGTTTTGAAAGAGGGAAGCAGATGTACATTGGATCATTGGATGCAGGGAGACGGTTTGGTTGCATTGGATTTGAAAAGTGTGGAAACGGCATCAAATGTGGATCTCAGGGGGGGCACCATATATATATATATATATTTCTTTCTCTTTGCGTGGCTTGAGATTGCAACAAGACTGTCAGCACAGCGTCTGAGCGTTTGCAAGCTTTATGCCAATTCTAGGGCCCTTCCTTTTCATGTCGCGCTGTTGCATGCTGCACACTGTCGTGCGTCGCTGCAGGTTGGCTTGCAAAGTGACACAAGGTCAGATAACGAAGGGTGTTCACCCAGCAGTGCCTTGCGCACAAACAGACTTTAGCGGGGCTACCGAACATGGCAAAGCTAGGTTCAAGACTTGCAAGACTCCTGCAACTCTCTTAGCGGATACTCCATAAAGGTCGTGTAGACCCAGTGTTTCTCTATATGTTTTTTCTCTTTTTGTTACTAGTAGTAATGGCCTTCAACCTATTAGCTATGCCCTCCAACCTAATAGCGATGGCCTCCAACCCAATAGCGATGGCCTCCACCTAGTAGATTCTTGTTACTAGTAGTAATGGCCTCCAACTTACTAGCGATGTCCTCCAACCTAACCTACTAGCGATGGCCTCCACCTAGTAGTTTCTTGTTATTAGTAGTTCTGGCCTCCAACCTACTAGGGATGGCCTCCAACCTAATAGCAATGGCCTCTAACCTATTATAATGGCCTCCACCTCGTAGTTTCTTGTTACTAGTAGTGATAGGGACGGGAGGCACTCCAGTTTCAACTAGCGTTCTTGTTGCTACCAAATTTTGGCTCGATCTCAGAGGTTTTGCCACTTGAAATGCACCGAAACACACCTCGCAGTTTGCGACCAAAACCAACCTTTTTGGTCAAAAATATGACCAACCGGATTTAAATCTTGGAACCACAGGGACCCACAGCCAATGGACTGGCAGAAAGCAATCAACTGATACAGAAAGGCAAAAGGCATGAAGGCACTGCTGCTGCATGAAATTCGATTGGCCAAAGGCGCCCAACACGAAATCGCGAGCAGAGCGTGAAGAAAGAGGTCTGCAATGCCGCCTAAGTTGGCTCAGAATATACAAGACGGAGACATGGGACTAACCAATATAAGACCCAGTTCATGCGGCATTGCAGGGCTTGTAGAGCTTTCCAGGCAGATTTTAACATGGGTCTTGCCCGATTGGGCGTTTTTTGGACCCAAGTTGAGCTAGGGTTCCTCCTATGGCTTGGTTGACAAGGTTTTACCACACTTGTTTAGTCATGTTTAGCAGATTTGGAAAGATCCATGGGAGGACCTTGGCCTAGGTCATACAGGAAGGGGACTGAAGGCAATGGGTAGACGGTAGATTTGTTTAAGAATCCCTCAAGACTCAGAAGGATTGAACTTGGTAGGATTCTTGGCTGAATTTTAGCCTTCAGGGAAAGACCTTCCATCTCTGCAACTCGGAAAACGATAAAAACATATTTAAAAAAACACACAAACCGCATCCTTTCTGGAAGCACTTCAATACAAACTACAGCGAGACGCGACTGTGCAACCTGATGCAACTGTGCGCTGCTGCTGAACAGCATAATTGGCCCAGGAAAGTCTTGCAAGGAATTTCAGCCACAAAGGATGGCCGGCAGGCCTCAAGAAGTGCCTCAAGACTGATCATTGCATTTCATCTCACAACTCACTGCAGTCATCACGGGGCCCAAGCCCGTAAAGTGTTTCCCCTGAAGAGCCCAGACATTGGCGTAACGGTGTTTGCTGATCCTCTTGGAACAGGGTTTTTAACAAAAACAAAAACGTCTAAGGAATCGAAGTCACTTGAAGTCGAAGGAATCGCCGCCATGGCGGCTTCGAGAACGTATGGTTCAGCCGGAGTCGAACCCCTTGGAAGCACTCCAAAGCTGGGTCGCATGGGCCAACTCCGGGAGAGCCGGGAAGAAATGAGAGTCACGTCCACCACTGCAAACTAGTAGCTTCTTGTTCCTAGTAGCGATGCCCTTTGTTACTAGTAGCTTCTTAAGAGTCACAATGCAAGAGGAGTGAACTAGACGCATGTGACAACATGTCGATGCAAAGAGGATGATGTTGTCCGAAAGAAGCAACGGAGCTTCCTTTTTTTGCCAGGAGCCAAGTCTTGAATCTGGGCCTTCAAGATGGCCTAGTGGTACCAGGCGCAATTCTGGCGATCGTTTAGGATGTGTGACACAGAGACCCGATTCTTTTGGGCAATCCTGTGCAACACGATGCCGATGTTTGTGCAACTTCATGCCGCTACTAGGAGGAAAAGGCATCGCTACTAGGAACAAGAAGCTACTAGGGGCTCCTGGCATCGCTTCTAGGAGCAAGGACGCTACTAGGGGCTCCTGGCCGTACTACTAGGAACAAGAAGCTACTAGGGGCGGCACGCCTGAGGCTTGGGCGGCACGCTGTTGGCCTCCAGGCTACCGGCAGACGCCGAAGCTGTCGATTGGGAGGCGGCCTTGAAGAGGCGGAAACGAACAAAGAGCGAGACGTGTTAGAAACAGTTTTGGGAGACGTGTTGCAAACACTAGCGATGGCCTCCAACCTAAAGCGGTCGCCTTCGAGATCGAATGTGCTGCTGAGCCTCACATTTGGAGACGGACATGATCTCGCATTGAGTTGCTAGTTACCTAAGTAAGGGCTAGGTAACATAACTACTACTAGGTGACCTGCTTTTGGGTTGGACACAGGAAAACTCGCGCTTCTATTCATTTGGTTCCTAGATGTTTCCTCGAAATTGCTTTGTTTTTATGCCTTCCTGTGTGCCCGACACGATATCTCCAAACGAGATGGGTTTGGACCAGATCTCACGAGGCAAAATGCTGCCAACGACGAGCTTTGTAGCAGCATCCCCAGTGCTTTCAGGAAAACTCTCTTGTAGCCAGCAAGGCAAGTGTTACTTCCTTTTACATTCTCACCAGGTGAAAATAGTCAACTACAACTCGAAGTACAGCGGTTAGCTGCAGAAGAGTCACGCGAAGCCTGGGAGGTTCGAGCGGTACGAGTTTGCATTTTGTCACTCTTTTCGACTTTTGCATGTTGCATAACAGTAGTAGTGTCCGATCGCTCCTAGTAGCGATGCCAGGAGCCCGGTTCGTAGCGTCCTTGCTCCATGTTTTTCCTCTTTTTCGGCACGCTTTTTCCAACGGAAAGACTCGTGCACGCTCTGCACTGCACATTTGTGGAGGATGAGACCGAAGATCAAGAATCCAGCTGCTCAATGCAAGACAAGAAAGACGGGTTGACAGACAGCGTGAAGTGGTTAGCGGACTGGGGACTGAATCACGTTGAATTCATGCTTGGAACCTTTTGGAAACGTCGCCAGTGTCAAGGTTGGTTGGATGAGCTGATCAGCAAGGTTCAGGAAGCTGCAAGCTCGTTTCTTGGATCACATTTTTGTTGGCCTTTCTCCACCATTGTGAAGTCGAGAAGCCTTTACAGATTTCTGAACGATGAACTCAGGACAGCTCATACTGATGAAGGACTCAGCTTTGCCTTGTGTACCGATCTTCTTGGGGCTGTGTTGCCTGCTTCACTTTAACTGCCCATCACAACGGATCAAAAAAAAGACGACAAATGTCAGAAACCCTGTTGTCCAGGCAAGTCCAGCTTTCTGGCGCGGCTCCTGTCATGCTTGGACCAGGCGAAAGAGCAAAACCTAAAACTTTATTTCATGTACAATGTACACTCTTATTACTAGTAGTAGCAAGGGCATTATAGTAGTAGCTAGGGCATCTCATGTACTTTTTCACTCATATACACTCTATGTCTTTGCCGTGCCTTTGCATGTCTGGAAATGCCTTGACATTTATTTTACTCTTTTCTGACAGGCGCCGTTGTTCAGGGTGTTTTGTCATGCAAAAACTCCCACAAGTGGCAATACTCCTATACCTCACAGCTCATCAGAGAAATGAAAGCGAGGAAGAAAGCCATTCAGGCAAGTTCCAATCAGTTCGGAGATGTGATAGAAATGCGACATGTTTATACCTGTTACATGTTTTGCCAAGCAGAGTTTCACACGTCAGGCCATTCGTGCGGCCGATACGGACGAGGCCGCTGGAGCCACGACCATGGCTGAGGAGGTGCCCAGACAGCGCAGAACATGATAAGACAATGGCCTCCAACCTACTAGCGATGGCCTCCAACCTACTAGCGATGGCCTCCAACCTACTAGCGATGGCCTGCAATCTACAAGC